AGCTTTTTTCTTTAAAGCTTTTCCCCTTCCCTACCCTCTCCCTCCCACCTCCTATTCCTTTATCCTTGCTGTCATTCTTATTGATATTAATCTTAGCTCGTGCTATGTCACATAATGGTAACATTCATTGTAGCTTTAGGTTCTGTACATGACATATCTTTATTCCACTTATTCCTCCTTCCCATCTTTCTCACCCCTTGCCCTTGCTTCTTTGGACCAGTTCCCAACTGCAAGAGTTTCATCTCCTTGATCCTTTCTAGCTATCCTTTATTATTTTGTTTGTACTTTGCCTCTCTTAAATGAGAGATATCATATGTTATTTAAATTTGTGTGTCTGGTTTATTTTACTCAACATTGTATTTTCTGGGAGCATCCATTTTTCTATAAATGTCTCAAATTTGTTATTTTTTATAGCTAGATGGTATTCCATTATACACAGATACCACATTTTTGTTATCCAATCATCTGTTAGTGGGTATAAAAGGCTGCTTTCAGGATTTAGCTACTATAAATTGTGCTGCTATAAACACTGGTATGCAAGTATCTCTGTAACTATGATGATTTAAGCTCTTTGGGGAAGATACTTAGCAGGGCGATAGCTGGGTCCTATGGAATTTTTCCTTTCAGTTCTTCAAGAAATCTCTCTACTGATTTTCATAATGGTTGTACTAGTTTACATGCCCAGCAGCAATGAAAGAGGGTTTCTTTTTCACCACAACCACCTCAGCATCTGTTACTGTTTGATTTCCTAATGATTGTCATTCTTTCCCAAGATGGAATCTTAGTGTTGTTTCCACTTGTATTTCTCTAACGACCAGAGATGTTGAACATTTTTCATGTATGTATTCATCTATTTGTTGACCATTTTATACTTGGCTATTTATTTAGTACCTATTTTTGAGACATTTAAGTGGCCTTGTTTGACTCATGAATTCACTTTTGTTTTATTAACTGGGATATCCAGGTTTCTATAGTATCGCTTTTAATGCTTAACTCAGAGGATAACCCTGAAAACTGATTCTGATTGTTATTATCAGTCACCATTATTAAAGTATACGAGTCATGTATTGTATTTAGTTTTTCTGTTTAAAATACCTATAAAAAGAGAATGGATATCACATCTTTTTTATTTTAAAATTTAAAAAACTGACAAAACAATGAAGACAAAATCAAAACAACACAAAAACAACAAAAATGATACATGACCTCAAGAAAAAAATGATAGAAATTTACAATGGTTGCTATATTACATATTGTTATCTTCAACAAAGTTGCTCAATTAGACATAAGAATGTAAGGTTGATCAAACAATCAAAGAGAGTAACAAGTAAAAAAAATTAAAAATAATTTTAAAAAAACTATGGAAATGATGCACAACGTCTTATTTCTAACCCTAGTTTTGCAATTTACTAGCTATCTATGAGTAAACCCCTTACTGTTTCCGCACCTAA